AAAAAAAAAAAATTTCCATACAAAGGTACTTTCTATCACTACTTCAAATTGGAAATTAAAAAATTTTTTTTCATAAAAAGAAGAAAGCAACCATAAAAATAAACACAAGGGGAAAAAATACTATTATGTTTGCAACAGTCAGGAAAAGTTGGGAGTTGAGAAGAGAGTGACTTGTCTCAATGTGCAAATTGATTTTATTTAATTTGGAGAATGGCAGTTGTCATTCTGCACTTGGGGAAGCATTGTCGTGAGAGGACAGGTAGAAAGATTTTTACCTAGAGAGATGCCTTTTCTCTAGAGGGTGCTCCTTGGGGTCATGGGCATAGGAACAGTCTGGGAAGCATGTGTTTACCCAGGTGGGCCTAGGACAGTAGAGGAGCTCCACCTCCCCGTGTGCATGTGCAGTTAAGCTGGGACACCTACCCTCTTGAGCAGGACCCGGGCCAGGTGTCCCTGGAGCTGCAGGGAGGCCAGGCCTCTTACCTACGATGCTTGTTGCTGCAGGTCACTGGCATCCCCATGAACTGCTCTGTGAAATTGCAGCTGAGCCTGTACATCAAGGCCATCAAAGGCATTGGGTGAGTGGGGCTGGGGCAGGGACTTGTATAGAGATCAGGGACCCACTCAGCACCTTCTCAGGGACCAGTGTGGCCGGGAGGGGATGGTCCCACTGGGTGTGGAATCTTGTCTCTGCCATAGTCCCCTCAAAGGAGTCTCAGCTCTGGGCCAGGGCCCGGCCTACATCCTTACATCCCTGCCCCAGAATCCTCCTTTTCGCTCTTAATACTTGTCCCCAAATTAGCCAGAATCTTCCATCCAAGCTGTTTTCCACTGAAGAGAAAATTGAAAAAAACTAAATTCTGGTGAAACCAAATATTTGAAAATGGAAACCTACCAAAGAGCATCCTTGAGTCTGACAATTCACTGATTTTCTCTTTTGATTTGTTAAATGATAGCTTTATTGAGATGTAATTCACATACCATAAAGCTCACCCTTTTAAAATGGACAACCCATTGATTTGTAACATATTCACAGAGTTGGGCAACAATCAATTCTCTTGGGTCATACCTAGGAACCAAATGGCTGGGTCACATACTGACTCCATGTTTAATGGCTTGAGGAACCACTAGACTTTTCCACAGCGGCTGCACCATTTTATTTGCTCACTAGCAGTGTAGGAGGGTTCTGCTCTCTCCCCATCCTCACTGAGTCCTGTTAGAACATGATGTTTTGATAAAGCTGGGTTTGGAAGTACACTGATTGGTCTTCCTGTCAGGTCCTGTTCTTCTTAGCATATTTGAAATAGTTTCATTAACCAGAAAATCCCCCTAGAACAATTCCTGGGTGGCAGGAATGTGAGCATCTATCCAGCTTTGTAAGCTGCTTCTCAGCTGGAAAGAATAACGCTGTCGCAGGGAGGCGGGAGTGGTAAGTGCATGCTCATCTCCTTAAGGCCCACTCCGGCTTTTAATTTTTACATTTTGAGGTTGCTCTCAGGGTTTATTCTGGAAGGATCTGTGGTTGGTGAAATGACACCGGGTGTGCACCAGGTGTCTGCCACCCAGGCCTGTGCTCTGGGCCCCACATCACTGGCACTTGGTCTGTTAGCTTGGATGCACCAGGCCTGGCAGGTGACTTAGAGGAGCCAGGCATCCTGGGTGGGGACGGGGCCGAGGGCCAGCCCCTGCCCAGCACCAAGGGAACACGGGCCCAGCATGGCCCCATCCTGTGCACTTTCAAATGCATTTTTCAAAATATGGATTTTAACATGAGTTCTGTCAACTTTTACTTGTTTTTCAAATTCTTGACAAATGCTGCTCAAGCCATTGGTTTGTCCAGTGGCTGGATTCTGCCTGTTGGTGGCTGCAGGCCACTACCCTGACCTTGCTGGGCCTCTGTGGTCTCATCGCTTCAGAACAGGGGCCGCTCAGCTGCCCGACATTCCCTCCAGGCTGGAGTGGTGGCCTCAGTGGAGCTGGTTTAGTGGCTGTGCATATTGCCATCCCTGAAGGCCGGCGGGGTGTGGGAAAGGTCTAGAGGTGCAGCTGTCCGGAAGCAGAGCTGTTCCACTGTGCCTTGTCTGAGCAACTTACGGTCTGTTTGCTAACAAGATAAAGGCAGCAGAGTTGCATGCTCTTTGCATGTAATTTATGTCCGTTCTTAACAAGCTCAGGTAACAGAGGCCAAACTGAGTGGAACCCTCCACTGTATTCCCATAGTGTTTCCCAGGTCTCCCTCCGGAGGTGACACCATGCACATTCATTCCCTGCACAATACTTAATGGGGGACCCAGAGAGAGCTGAGGATTGTGACTGAGGGATTTTAGCCTTTTGTGTTACTCTGGGGCCCATCCCCTGCTGAGCTCCACCTCCCCTGTGTGCAGTTGTGCCACCTTTAAGCAGACCCAAGAATGGTGAAGTCACAGAATACTTTTGTCTTATTTTGCTGCTATTTAGCAATGACAATAAACATACAGCACTGTTTAAGTGCTGGGTATTCTTTTAAGTCCTTTGCTCAATTCTTGCATTAGGTCCTCATTGCACCCCTGTGAGCAGTTCCAGTGTAATCCACTTTTTACAGAGGAGGCACAGAGAGGGTACATGGCATGCCCAAGCTCACACAGCTAGCTAATAAGTGGTTATGTCAGGGGTTCCCAAGACCATGCTCAGGTTTGATGATTTGCTAGGAAGACTCTCAGGCCCCAGCATGTGGTCATGCTCATGGCGGTGATTTATTACAGCAAAAGGATTCAAAGCAAAATCAGCAAAGGGAAAGGAGCATGGAGTGAGGTTTGGGGGAACCAGGAGCGCTTCCAGAGCCTTCTCCCCAGGGAGTCACACCAGACATGCTTAAGTCCCTCAGGGAGTTGTGACAGCACATGTGAAGTGTCATCTATCAGAGAAACCCATGGAAGACTTAGTGCCCAGGGTAATGGGGGGCTGCTCACGGAGGCACCTGCTCAGACCCAGACTGCATGCTCCCCGAAGGAAAGCAGGTGGTCAGCATAAACCATATTGTTTGTTAGCTGGGTGTGCCATCCTGAATAAAACTGGGGCTTTGTTCTAAAAGGAACGAATGGATATCAGCTAGGTTACTGGCACCCTCTGCCAAGTGTTTAATTTAAAAAGGTATTGTCAGATTGTCAGGCAGTTCCCTGCCAGGAAACACCCATTCTTCAAGCCCTTTCTAATCCAGTCATTGCAAAATAAAATCACACCTGAGCTCAGAGCTTACCATCACATGTCGAAAGCTGCTTGAAAAAACTCCTCACTCGCTTTGTCTCACTTATTTCCAGACAAACAGGAAGGATCCAGCCGGTGGTCCTGCCACTGCTGTGGTTCAGTGAGGTAAGGCTGCCCCCCTTGTCCCACACCGAGGGTGCCTGGGCAAGGAGTCTGGTACCCAGTGAGGAGCCGGTGTCGGCATTTGAGGCAGAAGGGAAGGCTGGGCCAGTCAAACAATCTGTCAGAAACTTCCCACTGTCCAAAGCCTCACACACCACACTTTATGTCAGTCATCCCGGAGCTGAAAGGACCTCTTGAGGTGAGGAAGACAGAAGCGACGTGAAATTGTGAAGCAAGCCCAGGGCGTAAAGTGACTTTGTTAACTTCATGACCACTTCTGAGAAGGGAAGTGATTTTCAAGGTGTCAGCTTTTCACTTGTGCTTTCTTTTCTCCCAGCTTTTCAGAGTTCCTTCAGGCCTTGCTTGTCTTTAATCAGGGTGAGCTAATGGTCTGCACAGCCTCTGAAGGTCAAAGTCACTTCCTGCTCACATCACACTCTGCTATCCACAGTCATTCAGGAGTGCCTAGGCTTCTTCCCTCCCCCTCGGAGATCCTCAGAATCCATCCCATTCAATGAATTGGGAAAAGATGGAGAGAATCATGTGGGAGGTTTTTACAGGGCAGGCATGAAAGCTGTAGAGGCGATGTGCCCATGTCCCAGGGGATTCTGGGAAATGTGTGGCCCTGGAGGACATGGAGGCACCTGCAGACTCCATTAAATGCTGTGGCCAGTGATCCTGAGATGGGGAGGGGTGTGATGGCCAGAAGGATATTGCATGGGTGGCATCTATCCCCAGGCCCCAGCCTGTTTGTCATTCTCCTCCCCAGAGTGGGACAATGGAGGGTGAGACCCTGCAGACGTTCTACACCCAGTTGGTGCTGATGCCCAGTGTACTACACCACACCCAGTACTTCCTCCTCGCCCTGGGCTGCATCCTGCTACTCATCACCGTCATCTGCCAGATCCTGAACCAAGTAGGTGGTGTGGTCTGGCCAAACGGCACACTGCTTGCCTGCTGGGGGAAGGACGGGCTTGGATCATATCTCCTGGCCTTCCCTTCTCTGCCTGGAGCCCAGTTTGGGCAGCGCATCTCTGCCTGGTGCAGAGGATCTGTCGCTGTGTCCTTGCATCTCTTGCATCCTGTGCTGCTTTTTTTTCGCCTGTTCTGGGAGGTCTGGGAATCCTCCTTTGGAGGAACTGCGGGTGGCTTTTGGGTACTGAGACCTGGTACTTGAATAGTTTGTTCATCAAGTCAATACCTGTCAGGTTCAGGGCCTACAGCAGTGAACAAGACAGGCTGCAGGCCGTGCTCCAGGGGAGCTTGGGGGCTGGCATTCTAGTTGGGGAGACAGGTAAATAAACAAGTAAATAAACAGTAAAGATAATTTCACTGATTATGAGGTTGTTAGGACTGGAGCAGTGCTGTTGAGTAAAAATACAATATGAACCACATGTGTAATTTTAGATTTAGATTTTCTAATAGCCACCTTAAGTTAAAAAAATTAATTTTAATCATATGTTTTATTGAACCCGAATATATCTAAAATCTGACTGTTGTAACATACAACCAATATTAAAATATAAATATATTTTGCATTTTTTTTCATGCTAGGTCTTTGAAATTCTGCTGTTTATTTTATACTTAGAGCAGGTCTTGATTTGGACTGGCTCCATTTCAAAGGCTGGATAACCTTATATGACTACCAGACTGGACAGCACAGCATTCAAGGGGGCTGGGATGGCTATAGAGAGAATGTCAGGAAAGGCTTTTCTGAAAAGGTAGAATTTAAGCTTCAGTGTGAATGCTCAGGAGGACCTCTGCATAGAGTCATGGGAAGAGTGGGAGGAATGGCCAGTGCAAAGGTCTTGAGGCAGGGATGGGAGGCTTATGGGGAGATCTTGGAGTATCAGAGTGGCTGGAAGGGAGTGAGCAGAGGAGAAAGGTAGGAGGTAGTGTCTATGAGGCAGGGGCAGATCACGCCATGCCCTGTAAGGCAGGATGAGCAGCCTGGAACTGCTTCTGGGCAGGACAGCAAGCTGTTAGAGGCTATTAAGGAGAGGAGTGACTGGGTCAGCTGCTGTGTGGTAAGTAGGTCCCTGGCTGGGAGGGTGGAATCAGGGGGACCAGTGGGGAGGCCCAGGTGAGCAAGAATGGTGGCTTAGACCAGGGTGGGAATGGGTTATTTTGGAAAGGGAGGATAGATGGATAAGAGCTTTGAAGGCATCCAACCTCTAGGGGCAGGAAGGATGGGGCAACACAAATACCCCTTTTCAATTTGGTGTCATTCATTCCTGGCACCCCCTGGCACACCTTTGCTGAGCAAGTTCATTTTGCAAGGCACCGTGCAGATTGTGGGGGTACAGCAATCATTAGATATGATGTCTGGAGAACAGGGGACAAGACAGACTTCAAGTGATTACTACAGCCACACAGGGACAAGGCTGTGATCTCGGGGCTCCAGGGGCAGTGGGTCCCAGGCAGCTACCTGACAGGGAGGAAGTGCTGCTCCATGGCAGGAAGTCTCAAAGCCTGTTGAGTGTGTGAATAAGGAAGTTGTCCTGGGGCCACAGGCTGAAGACCTTTGAGGGGGACCTGCCTGGGTCCCCTGCTGCCCCTCAGGCCCTCTGCAACACCTGCTTTCTGCTTTAGCTTTGGCAAAAAGCTCTTTCTCTTTCTCCTCTATCTTGGAGGCAGCTTGCCTGCTTGCTTGCTTGCTGGAGCCATAATACACCTTCCCAGGCTCTTAACTTGGGCTTTCTGACGCCAGGCCTGATTTCCCTTCCGAGTCCACTGTCCTGTAGGGGAAACGGTTTGTGCTGGTTCCAGGATGGTAGGGCCCTCCAGCTCTTGCAATATTGCTACCTCTGGTGCCTGAGCCCCTGATGAACATTGGGTCTGATCAGCCTGCAGGGTGGCCCTGTTGCTGTCCCTGCCTCAGTGAGAGCTGGGCTGAGCATAGCTGTCACTCCAGTGAGCAGAAGGGAGTTCCCTAAGGCATTTCGGCTGAATTATGCTAGGACAGCGAGAGGGACCAGAAGCCACAGCTCCCAACCTGTGGATATGTCCCTGGGTGGATTTCTACTAGTGAAGACACACACAGAGCCACACTTGGAGGACCCAGGAATCTGGCTGAAGCAGGGCTAGGCCAGGAGAGGAGGCCAAGGCCCTCTAGCTCCTTTGTCTCTCTCCATTCAGAAATTGGGGGCTGGAGGGAAGAGTAAGGAGACCGGAAGTGCTGGCTTGGGCCTCCTTCCCTGCCTCACCCCACAGATCAGAGTGTGGCCCCAAACCCAGTAAGAGCCATTCTTTCCATTGCTTCTATGGGCAATGCAGTTAAGACTCCCTCCCTGCAGGTTTCACTGGAGGCCAAGTAATTGAAATTTAACCAGTATGGTTTTTTTGGCCTAGTAGAAGGTAGGCCTTACATGCTGTTATGTGATTGTCCTGATTTTTTTTTTTTAATCATGTGCTGGTGAATTCAATGTGTTTTCACTTCTCTTCAGAGAAATTTTTCTTTTCAAGTCATTCTTTAAAAAATCAAGTATTTTAACAGGACAACCTGTTTCTGGTCAGTTTAAAATGCTACCTACCTGACCCGCTGATCCTTTGCCCATCTGCTCTGCCCCCACAGCCCGTCTCCCCACCCTAGTTCCTCTCCAGGTCCTTCGTTTTCATGCGGACACACCCTTTTTAGCTTGGCTTGTCCTCCCAGCCAAGCGTGTTTCCTGAAGATACCTGTGTTTCTGTCACTGGTGAAGGGCACCAACTCCCCAGATCTCAGCCAGCTCCACTAGTTACTGGTTATTGGACTCAAATTCTGCACCTGCTCTTTTTAAAAAATCGAAGAACCATGTAAACTCTTTTGTGTTTGGCTGCAGTGTCAACTATAAATTAGCTTGGTTATCTTCTAGGAGAAATGCTATTTATTTTGGAGTAGTAGTAAAAAGGGCTCAAAGGATAAGGAGGCCATTCAGGCCTATTCTGAATCCCTGATGACGTCAGCTCCCAAGGGAACTGTGCTGCAAGAAGCCAGGCTGTAGGTGGGTACCAGGTAACACTTCACTTCGTGCCTTCCCGCCCTGCCTCCCCTCCTGTAGTGATTAGAACTCTGGTGGCTTGAAACACTTTGTTTCTTAACCATTTCTTCAGCCTAAATTTCACCTGGAGTGTCTACAGACTGAAAAATACTTACTGGCATATTTTGTTTTTGGGGAAACTGCCAAAGTAGATGGTAGTTTCTTTGATCCCAGGCGTGGTAGGAGATGAATGGCGATCAGTATCCTGTGGGCTGGCATCTTATTTGCAAGGTTGTGTTAGAAAGGCAGGATCAAGGTTGAGTCAGCTGCTTCTCAAACCTCTGGTGCCATAGACTTCTCTGGGAAAGTTTGCTAAAAATGCAGACCCTTGGACATCCTTCTAGACTTACAGGAATAGAATTATGGATGGGGTCCAGGAATCTGCATTTTAATGGACCCTTAAGAGGATTCAGATGTACATGGTCCAGGGACCCCTGTCAGAGAAACATTGATCAAAATAAATCTGGGATTACTGGCGAAGAAAAGAGTTGAAGCATCAATTGAGCACCAACTGAATATCCAGGGTAGGTTTGCCAGATTGAGCAAAAACAAACAAACAACAACAAAATTCTAAGATACAACAGAAAAGGTGCCCAGTTAAATTTGAATTTTGGTCAAACCATGAATAATCTTGAGGATAAGTGTGCCCCGTGCTTTTTTTGGGACATGCTTTTACTGAAAACCTCTTCCTTGTTTACCTGAAATTAATATTCAGCTGGACACCCTGACTTTATCAGGACAGGTAGGCTCCTGCCTTTGGGAGCTCACATTTTCCTACATCAAGTTCCATTAGGTACGATGCCCTAGAACAGCCGCATCCTGCCAGGGATGTGACAGGCAGAGTTGCAGGCTCTAGTCTGGGTAGGGGTGAGTAGCTCTATGGTTGTGCCTCTGGTAATAGTTATTTTGGTATTTCTGAAAAATGTGCCACCCTTGAGGGCTTCTGGGGCTGGGTGTGCTGAGGTTCAAAGCATTTTGGAGAGCCACAGATTGAGGGTGTGGTAAGGATCCTGCTCTTTGGGGCCAGTTAGCTGCCCCCTGGGGCCAGAGGAGGAAATAAGATAGCAAATGCAAAGTGATGGTGTGGGTGTGTTTGCGTTGGCAGGTGCTGCCAGCCCTGCAAGGAGGAGGCAGGAGGGAGAGTTCTGTTCCCACCCAGGCTCTGGGGGGGCTCCTCCTGCCATTCAGGAACAGGAGGGCAGGAGTGAGCATTAGAGGGGTGTCCTCCTGAGGGCACAATTCCTGGATTTGTCCAAGTTGGAGACAAGCCCCCTTTCCTGCCTGCCTCCCAGGGACTCCTCTGGGATGCCTTTTGGGTACCATTTGGTCCCATTGGCACCCCTGCCCCCTTTCTACCACAATTCCCTTCAGCAGAAACTTGCTTAGTGTTCTCAGAGTACAGGGGTCGGGCCCTTAGGCATAGAGAAGGGGGTTATGTGCTTTTAGCACAGATAGACTTAGGGTTGTGAGGTCAGAGCCCCCATGGCTGCACCTCTGGGCATAGCCAGGAGGTCCTGCCACCCTCCCCCAAAATACAACAGAAACAAAACTGGGCTCTCCCTTTTATATTGCAAGCAGAACACATTAGTTATTTGAGTTATTAGGGAACTTTCTGATTTAAAGAGATTCTACTGCCCTGCAGGAGAGTCTACTTCCCTTCTGGAAGACAGCTCCACCTCCACTCCAGGGGATACCCCTCCCCCAGGTGTCCTTTGGCTTGGCAGGGCAGGTATCTGGGAAGTAGCCCATGGTCCTGGGGACCTGGAATCCCTGCTGGGCAGCCTACAGACTGTACTTGGGTCCCTGGGGGACACCCCATACCTTGCCCTGTACCTTGGCATGGGGGTGATCTTGAGGGGCTTCATTGCTTAGGAGAAGGCAGGAAATGGGCCCTTCACTAGCCCGAAAGAGTATTTTTAAATGAATAAGAAAAAGACAGCCCCTCTGTGCAGATGCAGCCAGCTGTAGGGCAGAGGGCTTAGCAAGCAGCACGACAGCCCCTTTGTAGCCCCTTTGGCTGGGTACCCTTGTGCTGTGAACAGCCTGGACAACTGTACAGGGCAGCACTTCAGGGGGATGTTCCTGAACCTTTCTTACCTTCTCATTAATCTTTCTCCTGTTCCAAGTCCTCATTCCTCACTTTAACGAAAGTGGGAGGAAACAGGAGGAGGAGGAATCTGCTTCCCATTCTGGTCCCTTGGGGATTTATTACATATGTTTTTCTTGGGGAAGACCAGGGTTCCTTCACAGTCTGGAGATAATTTCCCTTTTTACTTTTGAGAGAGGCTTTCTCAGGTCATGGTTCTCTGGGCCCACATTGCTGAGGTTCTGGCCCCTCTGGGTGTCTCATCCTGTCTTTATGTGGTGGTCGGGACTGGTCTCACTCTGGTCTGGCCTCTGCACCAACTTTCTGGCCCCTGGCTTGAATGTGGCTCAACCCAGAAAGCCTTGGATCTGTCTCAGAGCGAGAGGACCCAGGAGTCCCACCCTCCCCTGTGTGCTGCCCCGGTTGGGATTTTGATTTCCACCACTGCCTGGTGAAGCAGGCCTTTTTGCTCTCCAAATCTGTCTGTCTGTATCCATGAATGATCAGTAATTAAAACACTGTCTCAGTGATGTCACAGTGTATGTCTCACTCTGCAGCTGGCCGTCCCTTAATTTTCTGTTTGTGACAGCTGTCTAGGTTGAACACCCTCTCGTGACTGTGATTTAAAAATGCATTCTCCTGTCAATGGACATTTCGGTGGTTTCCAGGTTTTCTGTGTTGACAGTGTTGCATGTACACCCTGGACTCCTTGCTTTGCTCTTCTTACTGTGTGGGCAAGTCCCTTTGGGTCTCAGTCTCCCACAGGGTGAGGGCAGGGCAAGATGGTGTCTAGTGAGGTGTGGAGGCCCTTGTAACTGCATTCAAGAGTCCATAGGTTTCTCCAGTCTTTACTTATCTTGAGGTTGAGAGATGGGTGCCCCCAAGGGACATGAAAGGGAGGGCTTCCTTGTGGGTGCAGGGACCAGGGTAGGGCTGGGATGTGGGTGGGGCTTGGTGAGGGGACTTGGTGATCGAGCTGTTCCCTTTCTCCACAGGGTCCTGGAGATGCCACGAGCCAACCCAGCCTGGCTGCCCAGCCAGACCATCTCCCTACTCCCTACACCCCGCTTCTGCAAGACTCTTTCAGCAGACAGCCCACCAGTCCCCAAGTCTGAGCCCCCCAGATGCCACATGCGTGTCTGCACATTGCACACCCCCAGCACCTGTGTATGCGTGTGCACAGATGTGTGCAGACACACTCAGGGATGGAGCCGGTACTGACGGGACTCCAGGAGAGGCTCAGCAACCAAGACTGTTCTTGAATTTTCCCTCCAAGTGAACCATAGCCCTGGCCACAGGTGCTGTGGACCTGGGCTCTTGATGACTCATGTTACCTCTCCCCAGTTGCCCTGTCATTCACCGAACACTGCAGACCCTGTTTGGTGGCTCACCCAAGTTAAAGCAGGAGAGGGCTGTAACTCCATGGGGCCAGCCACTGTCCAAAGCCCAGCCTGGGAGTGCAGACTTCTTGTGCCAAAGCCAGGTGGGCACGGGCCATGGGTTCAGCACCTCGCTGGGGCCTAGAGCTTTGGCCACTGTACATCCATCTGAGACAGGGGTGAAGTCCATTCACAATGGTGAGACCTCAAGATGCATAATACAACTGCTATGTCTCCTGACCCCTAAGCAGGACGGTGATCTCCCTGAAGTCGATACAGGCACCTGGTTTGGGTGTCTGGGCCCCTTTCCTCCAGCCTAAACTGACATCATCCTGTATACTGAGCCATCCACTCCTGGCTGGAGTGGTGGGAGGCTGCCCCCAGCGAGGGTCCTCGGCCTCTAGGTGCCAGGGCAGAGGTGGAGAGGCCCAGGTGGGACTGGTCAGTCTGCTTGGGTGGGAGAATGTCCGTCCAGGGCTCCTGGTCTCTGGGGCAAGCCTTTGTCTCTTTTCTACTGGAAGAGAAATGAATTTTATCATCTTTTAAAAATAATTCACAATTAAAGTAATAAATCTTTTTAAAAAGCTAATGTCTGTGATGGCCTCTTTGCTGGGGATGGGGGAGGCTTCCTGGGGAATTCTAGGCTCTCTTTTTAATCAGTGGCTCCTTTCTGGTAGCTTCCCCAAGTGTCACTCAGAGGCTGGGCTGCTGACTTACCTTCATATTGTTTAAAAATTTCAGCTGTGTATATATTCAACTTATGCAATACTGCAAGGCTGTTTGACCATTACCGATCCCCAAGGTAAGTACCTTTGCCATTTTGGCCTGGAACCTGCTAGGCTTTTTTCTCTGTATTTGTATACAGATCAAGGTGTCTATTGGGACATTATAGTCTCGGTTCTGGACTTTTGCTTTTCCTTGTTACATAAATGACAGAACAGAGAAGTGATTAAGAGAAGGGATTGGAGGCAGATTGTTGGGGGCTTGAATCTAAGCTCTGCCTCTTACTAGTTTTGTGATTCCAGGCAAATCACTTGAAAGCTCCATGCCTCCATGCCTCAGTTTCTCCACCTCTAAAATAGAGATAATAGTACCTACCTCTTAGAGTGACATTTTGAGGATTCAGTGAGCCAGTCAAGAAATGCTTTTAGTGCATAGCTGGCACACAGCTATATAAATTTGCCATCATTATCTGTTAGGATTTATCAGTCTTCATTTTTTCCCCACCCACGCTAGACACTGTTCAACTTGTTCCTGCCGTAGACAGCCTTCCCTGTTGGTACAAACTGAGCTGCGTCCTTTTTCATGGCTGCACAGTCTCTAAGCCCTTCCCTGAAGCACTGCCCCAGGAACACCCTCAGATGAGTTTCTCAGGAACATTTGGAGGGGGCTGGTCCCAGGAGTGGCCTCTCCCCATACTGGCACCGTCGGAGTTGGGGGCTGCCAGGTGGGGTTTTCCCACCCAAGAGCCAGGGGTGCTCAGAGGACACAGCAGGCACTGAGCCTATATCCCTCAGTGCTTTAAGAGGCCCCCAAGACAGTTTCATTTCTTTTATAATAAGCAAACTTTTGGGTAGACAGTGTTTTAAAACCCAATATTCATCTTTACACTAATGCTTTAAATGTAATTTAGAATAATTTTAATAGAGGAAGGGGCCTGTGGCTCTGCCAGAGACCTGTGGTGGGGCCCCTTCGCCTTCTGTACCACCCGGTGCACTTAGGCCGCTTAGACACGCCTCCTGACCAGACGAGCAGCCCGCGGGGACTTGCTGGGAAACCGTGGGAAACGAGTCCGAGCCTCAGGTAGGATTTTGGGGAAGGGACAGTGCAGAAAGACGCAACGTTCCCGTTCAGAGGCTTAGCACTGACGTAGGGATGCCTGGTGACATGGTCGCCGGCGTGATGAATGCAACGCTCTGTGATGGCCTCTCTAGCGGTGCTGTGATGACACAAGAAGTGATGATGTAACGCTGCCATGGTGACAAACGTCGCTGCGATGACGTAAACGGCGCTGCGGTGACACAGACGGCACTGCGAGGACGTAGGACACGCCATGATGAAGCAGGAGGCGCTGTGATGGCGTCTCTGGAGGCCTTGTGATGCAAGAAGTGCCGTCATGACGCAGGTCTGCCGTGATGACCTGAGACGTGCCAGGAGGAAGCCGGGGGCACCGTGAGAGCCTCTCAGAGGCACTGTGCTGTCGCTGTGGGACCCACAGGCGCCTTGAGGACTGCGGAGGACGCTTGCTGGCGAGAAAACGTGGGGTAGGAAGACTCGCTTTCAGATACGGGGCTGGGCCCGCCAGTGGGTGGAGCGGGGCCTGGGGCTCCTGGGGGGGTGGGCCCTCCGCCATCTTGTGCCGCCCGCCTTGCCCCAGGAATGGGGGGTAAAACCACCACCATGCTTACTAAGGCGTCGACATCCAAAAGTTTTTACTTTTAAATTTTTTTAGTGGAATGAATTTAACTTTTTAAAAATTTCAGTTGAAATGTAGTTAATATACATATGTAGATATAACACATATAACGTATAATGTAGTATATTAGTTGCAGATGTACAACACGTGATTGGACAATTATATACATTAGGAAATGCTCCCCGTAGCTACCCTCTGTCATACCAAACTGTCACAATGGTTATTGATTATATTTCTATGTTGTGCCTTACATTCTCCTGACTTAGTGATTTTTAAGCTGGAAGTTTGTACCTCTTGATCCCCTTCACCTATTTCTCTTGTTAGCCCCCCTTCCCTTTGTCAACCACCAGTTTGTATTTTTGAATCTTTCTGGCTCTTTTTCAGATTTTACAAAAGTGAGACCATATGGTATTTATCTTTCTCTGACTGACTTGGTTCACTTAGCATAACACCTCTGGGTCCATCCATGTCTTATGGCAAGATTTCTTTCTTTTTTATGGCTGAGTAATATTCCCTTGTGTGTATGTAGCACATCTTTATCCATTCATCTCTGGTGGACACGTAGGTTGCTTCCATATTTTGGCTATTGTAAATAATGTTGTGATGAACATAGGGGTGCATACATCTTTTTGAATTAGTTTTCATTTTCTTTGGGTAAATTCCTAGAAGTAGAATTACAGGATTGTATGGTATTTCTATTTTTAATTTTTTGAGGAAGCTCTCAATTTCCATAGTGGCTTCACCACTTCACATTCCCACAAGCAGTGCAGGCGGGTTCCCTTTTCTCCACATCCTCACTTAACTCTTTGTCTTTTTGATACTAGCTGTTCTGTGTGAGGTGATATCTCATTGTGGTTTTTGATTTGCATTCCCTGATTAGTGATGTTGAACTTATTTGCAAGTGTCTATTGGCCATCTGTATGCCTTCTGTGGAAAAATGTCTGTTCAAGTCTTCCGCCCATTTTTTATCTGTTTTTTTTGGTGTTGAGTTTTATGAGTTTTTAAAATATACTTTGGATATTAACCTGTTGTTGGAGGTATCATTTGCAAATATTTTCTCTCATTCAATAGATTGCGTTTTTGTTGTATTGATGGTTTCCTTTGCTGTGCAAAAGCTTTTTGGTTTGATGAAAAGTTTTTATCTTATATTGAAGTTGTTGCAAAGGATGAAATTTTTGGTGTATTGTTTGTCATCACTGACATTTTAAAATTAAACCATGTCATTACTCTTCTAAATGAGCCCACATAAACGTAATGATGAGATGATGCTCACCACCATTAAAAAAATGCATGAACAAACTCTTACAGTTAAAAAATTTAGCCTTCCCCCCTTGACTATTCATTTCCATCTACATTTAGCTAGAATTTTAGCTAAATGTTATAGCATTTAGGCCTTTAAGTCTTACTAATCATTTGGTCGTACTTCTCTGCAATATAAATATCTATATAAGTTGAAATGGATATTTTAATTTTTTTCTCTTGACCATAAAGGTTTAATTTTTAAGGTCTGGATTGCCCTTCAACTATAGATACACAGTTGATCAACAGTATCAGTGTGTTTCACATTTTGTTATGTATCAGAGAAGTAAAACTTTACTGGAAGACATTTCCTTTTTATATGTTTTTAAATTTATGGAGTAGAATTGATGTGTGTATATACAGCCCTAGGAATTTGAGCACATGTAGAACTGAGTAAGCACCGCCAACCAAGACGCAGGACGATTTCATCATCTCCGAATTTCTTCCTGCTTGCCCTCTTCCTGCTTGCCCTCTGTAGTAAACCCTCCCCTCGGGCGTAACGTCTGGTAACCAGGTAGTGTTGTCTTTTCCAGAATGTCATATAAATGGAATCGTATAGTATGTAGCCTTTTAAGACTGGTTTCTGTCACCTGTCATAATGTCTTGAGATTCATACATGTTGCATGTTATCAATGGTTTGTTTCTTTTTATTGTTGGGTGCAATTCCATTATATGCAAATCCCATAGGTTTTTAGCCATGTATAACTCAAAGGACGTTTAAAGTATTTGCAGTTTTGGGTAATGATGAATAATACCTGGGAGTGGGACTGCTGGATCATGTGGTAACTCTATTTTTAACCTTTTGAGGCACTGCCAGACAATTTTCATGGTAGCTGTACTATTCTGCATTCTCACCAGCAAGGTATGAGAGTTTTACCTGCTCTTCATGCTGGCCAGCACCTTGGTACTTAAACAAATTTTAGTCATCTCGTGGCGGTAGCTCACTGTGGTTTTATTTTTATGGAAACACATCCCACAATGAGATCAGAGAGACTTCCTTTTCACTTTAAGTGATGTATCCGTGAATGACTAACACTTATTGCTAAAATGAGACAAATTTTGTCATCCATTCCTTTCTTATTGTTGTACATATAAGATAGAGAAAGCTTGTTTATGTAAATAAGTAGCTGGGAGGGGAAGGAATGTCCTGAAAGCAATGTCACTCAACTCTTACTCTTCTGAGTCATGGGCACAAAACAGATGGCGATCTGTCACCAAAAGTATCTTTACTGATCTACAAGCTGACAAGTCCATTTGCCCTCTATTCACATTTGTAGACAGCAGGAAAGTGGAAACCCCCAACTTGCGAAAGAATTGTAAAAGGATGACCAATTTTTAGCTCTGAAAACTAGTCTTTGGGAGCATCCCTCCAGAGGGGCTGGAGGATGGGGAAGAACTGCCTCCTGTGGAGTACATTGGGGGCCTCGTGAAGGGGCTGGAGGAATGCCCCGGGGCCTGGGTCTGCTCTCAGGGATACTCACAGGCAAAAAACTCACGGGGAGTGCAGGCCCTTAAATCCCCCACATTGGCCCCACTTGGAAAGCTGAGCTCAGTGTTCCCCAACTCATACTTTGATAACCACGTTGAGAACTGCTGACTGCCCTTGTGCCTGAGCCTCATCACAGACTCATGTAACTTTTGCTTTCAACTCTACCTGCTCATAAAAAAGTTATTAAAACAGGCAGTCTCCATAAAGCATTCTGCCCCTCACGTGTCTCATTGTATGAACATCTTGCTTCTGAGCATCTTTGTAAGGTTCTGATTTTTTTTTTTTTGGTACAGCCTTGGTCCCTAAACAGCCAACTACTTCATTCAGGGATCAGCAAGGAAACTGCCCTCTGCTCGCTGCTGGCAGCATGGGCTGCACGGTTACC